TGTATGTATTTGTATGTCCACGTCTGTGTTTATGTGTGTGTGTGTGTGTGCATGTAGGAGGCACAGAGACCCTTATGCTCACAGATCGGATCTCAGGCAACCTGGAATGGTATACACACAGGGTTGTTCTTTCAAAGGAAGACATGCATCCCATTATCCACCCAGAAGGCTGGGAGCTGGTGTGGCTAATAACCTGTGACCTTTGCACTATCTTTGTGCCCTGAGACCACACCAGACCCTCCCTCCGAGACCTTTATCATAAGTTTGCCTTTCAGTCTATCTACAGAACTCATCTTAATGGGTATGACATGAACTTGGCAAAGCATTTCCATGTAGCTATCCATGTCCAATCTTTAGTTAGCTTACACTGTGCCTCGAGTTCTTCAAGCAGACTTATATATGTTTTATTGCACACACAAGATCGAGTTAGTTATCACCAGGAACAGTTTCATCAAACTGTGCCTTGCTTAGAGATGCCTAAAATAAACTACTCAGGGTCAGCCGCCTGAAGCTTGAACCAACACAGCCTAGTCATGTAGAACTGAACTGCCTTCTTGCCTCCTGGCCTCCTGCAGATCATTCTTCTGCGGGCTGGGAAGGTGGCAGAGAACCCTGCAGGTGCAGTCTATGGACTGGCTGCATTAGAATCCTCAGACCCTGGGAAATCCGTCATGGTCATCAGCTTTCCCTCACTCACAAAATACTCGAGGGAAACAACTTAAAAAGAGTGAAAGACTCGTGGTTTCAATCCACGATTGGTTGGTCCCATTACTTTGGGCCTGTGGCAGGAACATACATCATTGTGTGAAAGCAGAAGAGGTCTATCCTCCCCGTGTTGGCTGAGAAGCAAAGACCAGCAGCAAGGTCCAGGGTCCTAATATCGCTTCATGGAGATGGTCCCAGTCACCTACTTCCTATACCAGAGTCACGCTTCCTAAATGTCCCAACACCACTCATAGGACCATCGTAGAGGCCGTCATACTTTCAATATAGGAGCCCTTGAGAGAGATTTTCTTGGGAGGGAGGGGAAGATCTCATTCTACATCTCATACCTGTTGGGATAATCTTTGTGTCTTCTGTGTACAGGTTGTCTTTGTATTATTTAAATGTTGATTTCTGTACCAGCAGAGAGTGGAGAACAGGCTATCACTTTTAGGAAGCATCAGCTGTCTCATTCTTTCATAAACTCTCTTCTCCATCACCTTCTGATTGGTTCAGTAAAGAGCTGATGACCTATCATAGAGCAGGAAAGGAAAGGCAGGACTTCCGGTAGAGATAAGAACTCTGGGAAAGAAGCAGGCACAGGCGAGTCACCAGCCAGACACGGAGGAAGAAACAGATGCAGGGACTGATGGAAAGGTAACCGGCCATGTGGCAGGTGTAGATTAGAATAATTGGGTTATTGAGTTATTGGAGCTAGCTGGGAACACGTCTAAGCTGTAAGGCCTAAGATTGATAAAGTCTCTGCGTCATTATTCAGAAGCTGGCTGGTCGAGACAGCCCAGCAATACATAATGGCCTCAAACTCACGGCAATGTTCCTGCCTAGCCTCGAAAGTGCTAGGATGAGCCACCATGCTAGGTTCTTTCAGATACACATAAAATTGAAACCATAACAACCAGACAGGGTGCAGTCACGAGCCCTTCCCTTGACTATAAAGTAAATAAGCGATTTGCTATATTTCCAGCTCAAGCGTTTCCTTCTCCGTTACATTCTGCTCTCTGATTGGTTTGTTATCTATCAGCTTCTGCATGCTTATCCCCGAGATTCTGTCTAGCTGGGCTATTAGCTTTAAATTTAGCATAGCGAGGTAAGTACCTGGGCTATTATTGCCTTAGAAACAGAGACGACAGAATCTTTCTACTCCCACGGCGCCCTCAAGACAAGCTCAAGTCTCTTCCTTGAGTTTACTTATCAAACCTAGTTCTCCAACCTAGTCACCTCTCAAGCCCTTGACCGTCATGTTCTCCATCCTGGTCACCTCAATTTAGCTTATTTCCAAACTCCATCTGTTCTCCAGCCAACAAGCCGACCTTCTTTCTCCTTCCTTCCTTTGCTTCTGCTGTACGCAAGGCAGTACAAAGCAAACGTTCTTTGCTTTGACCCTCTTGAACAAATTTACTAAAACAAAACAAAACATAAACAAAAACCCACACACACTTTCTCTAGGTCTTGGCTTGGGCTTCTCCACCTCCAACTCTGATTCAGCCCAGCCACACACTGGGTATATGTTAATGTGACATCTATTTTCTGCGTTTGGCCTACTGTGGTCTCCATTGAACTTTGCACACAACAGATTTTGATCAAAAAAGAATTTGACTCCCACCGATGTTCCACGAGCACACCCTATGACACGAGCGACTCTTTTAAAGTCAGAGGTCGTTCGCAGGATGGGTTTTCAGGTTTTCGACGCATGAGCCCACCGTGACGTGCCTGGGGGAGTGGTGAGCAAGAACACTTACTGTCCCTTGCATCTCAGCCTCTGCCATAGCCAACACGTCTGGACTAAGTACCACAGGAGGTAGCACTGGCCGAGAGTGTGCTCTCCTCAGCACAGAGACACCTTAAGCCGTTTAACCTTAAGAAATGAAGTTATTGGTCTATCTTTTAGCCTTTTTAAAAGAGAGACAACAACTGAGGCTTAGAGAAACTGTGCCAGTTCCCCTTGAGTCACAGTTTAAAAGGAAGCTCTGGTTCCTCAGGTCTTCCTGATTTACACACCACGGAACCCTGAGCTAGGAGGTAGGAGAACACAGGAGAATGGTTTTGAAGAGACACTCCCGGCTCTCTTCTTTCAGAACTCTCTCGGGCTGACTCTGTCCTCTGTAGCTGTGTTCTGTGTTCCCATCATTGCTGCCCCATTCCCAGACTAGCTATGGCTCCCTAGCGTGAAGGGCTAGCTGAAGATGGCTCACACATCTGAGTCCCCATCTCGTACTGAGCATGGAAGAAGGAAGATGCTGCACTCTGGTTAAAGCCCTGCTCCACGACTAGGCACAGCACACGAACTGTATGCCCTGCCCTATTTTTTGGTGTCTTTGAAAAGCCATGGCAGCTTCAGAAGATTTTCCCCGAAATCAGTTAGAGCCACAATAGCGCCAGTATCCCAACAACCTCTCCTCCTTCTTTTTCTTTACCCGTATATTTGGTTCCTTTTATTTTTATCTGTACTAGAAGTTGAGCACACCGCCTCACACGTGCCTAAGTTGTACCTCTAGCCTTCTTTTTTACTTAATCCTGACACAGAGTCTCATTAAATTGTCCTGACTGTCTCACAGGATGTAAGAGGCGCTGGATAGGTGCTTCCTAGTTACCTCACCTAGTGTTACCTAGCGCCTCAGGAAGTGGGTGGGCTTGCACCTATTGCCCTCCCCAGCCCGATGCATCCTTTGCCCCAGTTTATGGATGCCCTTGTTTCTCTCTCTTATCGAGAAATGCTCTCCTGTCTGTTCTGCAAATGTTTTCAAGAAAGGGAACTGATGAAATGAACCACAGAAAGGGAAACAAATATTAATGTTTTACCACGTGAGAGTCATATAAACTAGTGCTCACTTTAAGCCAGAAGAAGAAAGACACATGGCAAGAATCCAACACTCCTCTCCCTTGGTAAATAAAGCAAATATTTGAGTAGCTACTGTATTCCTTAGTGATAATAATCTGGATGCAGGAGACATGGTTTTAGGTGGGGGTGCTCCCCAATCGTATTGGATGGACCCCACTGGTGATCCCCCGACCCCTGGGCCCATCACGATCCTCTGTAGCCAGGTCCTGTGAGGGTCCTTTGATTCTGCTCAGACTCTGAGAAGCCTCTGACAACTGCAGTAGTTCCACACTACAGCAGAAACAGGCATCTCTGAGCTGTTCTTCCAACTTCCCCAGGACTAAGGAGAAACCTACACTTCTCGTGTTTCATGTTCATTTCTCCAGAAAAAGTGAGCCATCCACTCCTCTTCGGCTCATGGTAAAGGTGCACTAAAAACCTTCAGGATACTAGGGAGAGGCAGCAGCCTGCAAACACAGCTGCCCCACAGGGCATTCAGTAAAGGTGTGTGTGGTCTGGGCCTTCTGGATGAGTTCAACATAAGGAACACAAGGAGAAAATAATCAGGGGACTTTGCTGCGGGAGTCCACTCTGAATGTGTGTATATGTATGTGTGTGTGTGTGTATACATGTTCACAAGTGTGCATGCACATGCACACACGTTTAATTAGAGACAAAGGATAGAAAATACTGCTTCTGATTTTCTCATGTCTCAGATGTAACAGTCCACATTGGATTATTGGATCCATGTTGGCTTCTCACAGACTGACAAGCAGATAGGCCAAGAGGGCATGAGGAGGCAGCCTCACTGTAACAAGTAAGACTCTAGTGAGTCAAGGATCAAAAACTTCAATTCACTGCTGTTGTCCTCCGGGAAATCCCCGTATACATTGTGTATCCTTTTGTTAAACTTGAGCTTAAAGGGACTGGAGAGATGGCTCAGTGGTTAAGAGCACTGGCTGCTCTTCCGGGGGTCCTGAGTTCAATTTCCAGCAACCACATGGTGGCTCACAACCATCTGTAATGGGATCTGATGCTCTCTTCTGGTGTGTCTGAAGACAGCTACAGTGTACTCATATAAATTAATTAATTAATTAATTAATTAATTAATTAATTAAATCTTTAAAAAAACCCACTTAAGCTTAAGAGGTCAGGTGTGGAGATCAACATAGGTTCAATTGCACATCTGGCTATCCAGTATGATTAATACAATACACAAAATTATTCATTAGTAGTTCATAAAGATAATATAACTCTCCCCTTGGAGATATAAACATGGTTTCTAGAAATCTGCTGAACACGTTCTCATTGAGGAAAAAGAAATGTAAGAATTGTAGTACTTAGGTGACAGGGCTTATTACACTCATAAGTCTTCCAGGAAGAGGACTGGCAGAAAAGAACACTCACCTGCGGTGCTGACAAGGATTTAGGTGGAGCCTAAGGCTATCAGATCATTTACCTGGAAATGTTGCCACAGATGATAGCGCACGGCCGGGCACTGTGCAAGCATTGGATGGCTTTGGCTATTCCTACCAATATACTGATTCGAAGGTTCCAGGAAAGTGGGGCTGTGCCATTCTAAAAAGCAAGGCAAGTTGGCTTAGTTGTATTTTCTTAGTGCAAATTACCTATATACTCACTCTGCAGGCGCGTGGTTCCATAGCCACTGTTGATATTCCTTCTAGGCTCCGCCCCACGGTTACCTGGCAACAGCCAGGTGAGCCTGGCTCAATATAAAAGGGACTGCTTGTCCCCTCCTCACTCTCCTGTTCTCTTCTTGGCTCCTCATGCTCTTGCCCTTTGCCCTCTTCACCCTCTCTTCCCATTCCCCTCCCCCCTCCACGTGCTCATGGCCTGCTGCTACCCCCCTCCCTCTCCCTTTCCCTCTTTCTCTCTCTCCCTCTCTTTCTCTCACTTTTTCTCTCTCTCTGACTTTTTGTGTTTCTGCCTCCTCAGCTCCCCTCCGCATGCCCTAAATAAACTCTATTCTATACTATACTATCTGTGGCTGGTCCCCCAGGGAGAAGGGATGCCTCAGCATGGGTCCACAGAGGTACCCCCTTCCCCCACACCATACCACGCCTCCACCAAATATATCCCTGGCTCCTCTATCTTTTTATAAAACACAATAGCCACAGCTGTAGGTGGCAAGATGGAAGGAGAGGCAAATCAACAATTCAGTTTGCTACAACCTATTTTTAATTCCAAATGGGTTTTCCTCTATGGCTCTAGGGCAGTGATTCTCAGCCTGCAGGTTGCAAAGCCCATAGGGTTCACATATCAAACATAACGTATCTCAGATAGTTACATCACGATTTATAACAGTAGCGAAATTACAGTTATGAAGAAACAACAAAAATAATTGTACGGTTGTGGAATCACCACATCATGAGGAACTGTGGTAAAGGGTCACAGCACTGGGAAGGAAGGTTGAGAACCACGGCTCTAGGGAAATACCCAACAATTTTTAACATTAGGTTAAGCAAACTGTGGCCAGTGGCCTGGGCGTACAGCTCAGCAGGAGAATCCTTGCTTAGCATGCATACCTCACTGGGCTTGAGCCCCCAACCCTGTGCCCACCTGATTACCACATGCCACGGGAGCTGAGAATAGGGGATATAAACTCAAATGCACACATTTGTCAATCTTAAACAGATCCCAGAAACTCGTATGTTCAGGCAGCCTTCTAAGGGCAAGAAATCAATCTCCTGGGAGGGGCTTTGCTTCCCCAGGAACCATTGATGAATACACCGCCCCCACCATGCGCATGCTCAGATCTCACCCCTCAGCTCCCTCCAGTGTTAACAGCCCCCCTTCACCCTGGGCTTTAGTGAGCCAAAGGACCTGAGGGACCGGTACCCGAGACTTACTGTGCACTGTAACCTGTCAAAAAGCGTCCCGTTGCTCATATAGGGATAAACCAGACAAAGTTTCTCAGTCTCTGTGAAATATGCAGCCAGCTCTAGTATGTGGGGGTGACGGAACCTTGAAGGAGAAAAGTTTAAAACCGTCAGATTCTCCACTCAAACAGAAGATGGACGAGAGACTCGATCAGGAGGGACAGGAACAGTTCTAACGAAACTAAGTTCGGCCAAGAGACAAAGCATTTCCTTGGGAGTTACAACAACTACTAGTTCCATCCACCATTTTAAATCAACTGTCAGCATGTAAATCAATATAACATATTAAAATACAAGGCAGAAAATTTAAGGAAACGTCGGTTTCTTAAGCACTGGGATACTGAGAATGTCATACAAAAAGTTCATATAAAAACACAATTCAATATTCATTCATTTTCACTGATATGAAACTGTGTCATATTTTTATTTGTTAAACAAAGAATGGTTATGCAATGGACACCCATCTGATTAATTGTGCAATGCAAGGAAAAACACGAAATCACAGGACTAGAGAAGACTGCCTTTATCCCCCCGTCACTGGGGCATTACTACATCAGGTGCTGGATTAAGCCCCAGTTACATGCAGGCAAGGGATAGCCATGTCTGTACAAAGCTTGGGTTGTTATCTACAATCCACACAATAGTGTCTCCATCTGTAAAAATATGACACTGATTTCTACATTAATGTACATATCTTAGGCTCCTGGGCTAATCATTTATTAACCAACTAGCCCAAATAAACTCTATCCCTTGGATGTCATTGTTATATGAAGATCAGAATAGTCCACGAGTGATAGTGGAAGGGGCCGGTGTTGGCTCAAGAAACCCCAAGACCAAGTTCTCAGCACAAAGGAAATTTATTTGTCTCAGAGAGACAGAAGGCAGGGAATAAGAGACAAAGACAGGAGACAGAAAGTGAGGGAGAGCCGGGCGGTGGTGGTGCACACCTTTAATCCCAGCACTTGGGAGGCAGAGGCAGGTGGATTTCTGAGTTCAAGGCCAGCCTGGTCTACAGAGTGAGTTCCAGGACAGCCAGGGCTACACAGAGAAACTCTGTCTTGAAAAACCAAAAAAAAAAAAAAAAAAAAAAATAAAAAAAAAAAAAGAAAGTGAGGGAGAAGGGGAAGGGGACAGAGAGAGGGGACAGGGGTATTTGTCTGGGGGATGGAGATAGACAGGAGGCAGACTGTGGCTCATAGACAAATGGCAGTTCATAAGGGCAAAAGGAGAAACCTCATGTTAGGATGAGGCGTTTAATTTTGATTGGACAGGCTAATTAGGGCACCCCCTAGGGAGTCTTTGATAGCTGGACCTTGGTAGTCAGCCGTAGGAGGAAGAAATAGATCTGGGTGGCTAGCCTTAGGAATCTAACATAATGTTTTTTAGCAAGGCGGAGGGAATGGGGGAACAGGGCAAGGCCTATCAGAGCCAGAGTGGTGTTTTCTGGCTAGAGTCCCTTAACTGTCACTCCTCACTGTCTAACTTCAATAAAGTACAGCACTTGGTCAGCACCGTCTGATGGACTTGGGTCCAGAAATGAATGAAAAGAACCAGGCAAGCTGAGCACAAAGATCCACCTCTCCGTGCTTCCAGACTGGAGTCAATGAGATCAGTTATCTTGCAATCCTACCACATTGTCTTCTCGCCATGATGCACTGTCCTCTCAAACCATGAGCCAAAACAACCGTCAGCCCCTTAAGTCCTTTTTATCAGGTGTCTTGTCACAGCAGGAACTAAAGTATTAACACCACAGGTAACCATAAAACGTGAAATGTGCCAATATTAAAATCGCTGAAGCAAGACCCCCCAGACTCAGACAGTATGCACTTATTCTGCAGAAACAACCAGCATGTGGGGTGTGGGGGTCAACCATTCTTTGAAATGTGAACCCCAGAAAAAGGCACTCAGGCCTTCATGTAGGGAACAGGGTGAACTCTGAAAAACAAACAAACAAACAAACAAACAAACAAAACCCGATTGGGTAATCTAAAATTTCATTGGTGGGTACTAGGGGGTCACAGATGGTCAGTGGACTGCATTCCTAGGTCGTGGATGTTTACATAAGATGAGATAGGGCTGCCCAACACAGACAGGCTCATCCTGAGATAAGGTATTTCCCCATTTTTGTGGCTATCCCCAGGCTGTTCTTTGGGGAGGAAATTTTATGACCCTTGTTTAGGGTCTGTTCCTGGAGCTGGTGCCTTAGGTCCCTCTTTTGGAAATCAGGCCTAGTCCTTAAACGGAGACAAATGGGGTTTATGTTGTTCTTTCAAGTTCGGTTAAATAATCTGAATGCCTACTATGTTTTGGGCATGTTTGAGAGCATAAAAATCAATGAAGCGGTAAAAAATGTCCTACTTCTAAAGGTCTATTATTTGCTTCTTTTATAGCAAACTTCCTTCAAACACAAAGATACTCTCTTATGTACACAAGTACAGTTGATACAATCACGTGAGGATATTGACACAAAATTTCAAAAGAAAAGCAGGCAAGGGTTTGCTCTAGTTCATATACATATTTTTGCACGATCCTACAGAACGGGAGAAAATATTTGCTAGCTATACATCTGACAGAGAATTAATATCTAGAATACATAAAGAACTAAAGAAAAGTAAACACAGTTTAAAAATGTTGTGGAATCACTTCTTGGCCTTTGGGCTGAGGTCAAGTGTAAAAATGTTGTGGAATGAAAGAGAGAAATCTCTCAAAAAAGAAATACAAATAGCTACAAAGTAGCTGGAGCAATGGCTCAGCAGTTGAGCACTGACTGTTCTTCCAAAGGTCCTAAGTTCAATTCCCAGCAACCACTTGGTGGCTCACAACCATCTGTAATGGGATCCATGCCCTCTTCTGGTGTGTCTGAAGACAGCTACAGTGTACTCATATGCGTTAAATAAATAATAGAATCCAGTGGTATAAAGGGCTAAAATGAATAACGGAAAAGGAAGGGTTAAATTTGGATAAAGGCTAGGAGGGCAGGATGGAGGGGATATTTGGAGAAATAACTAACACAGAAGGCTTTTCCAACGTTGCCATATGAGAATCTACTACTATAGAGGCTTCCTGAAAGACTAAACACACACACACACACACACACACAAACACACACACAGAGTTCTAGCTGGATAGTGGTGGTGCACACCTCTAATCCCAGCCATCTAAGGATGGAGCCAGGTGGATCTCTCTGCTCTACAGAGCGAGTTCTAGGACAGCCAGTGCTACATAGAGAAACCCTGGACTGAAAATTAAACCAACCAAACAAACTAACAAAAAAAGAACCAAACAAAAAGAGTGTTAATGGATTAAAAAAAAAGTATTCAAAGTTGGGTGGGTTGAGAGGTAAAGGTAGAGAGAGGGTGGACCTGGAAGAAACGGGCAAAGGAAAGTAAATACAGCCCAAGACACTGTATGAAATCTCAAAGAGGTAAAATGTTATTTTTATAAGATCACATACCCAGATAAAGTAGAATTACCCTTGGGATTCAAAAGTGGCACAACATGCAAAAAATGACCAATAATATACCACATTATCAATGTGAAGTTAAATAGTCATACAATCATCTCAACAGATACAGGAAATGCATTTATCAAGATTCAAAGCCCTTCAAGATGAAACTCTCAATGAATTATGGAGACTCCGTGCCTCAATGTAATAAATGCTACAACACAATAAACTCATAGCTAAAGGCATAACTTATCATGACAAAGACATTTTCCCTCAGGAGAGGGAGCAAGATGTGGGGCCCATACTCAGTATAAATCCTAGCTAGAGCAAGGAGACAAGAAAAAGTATCCAAGATGAAAAGGCAAAAGGGAAATTGTCTCCGTTTGCTCATTACATGGTCCCCTATGTGGAAAACCTGAAAGTCTCCACAAAAACAAAAACAAATTTTTTAAAAAGGCTAGAACTGATAAATTCACCAATTTCTTTCAATACAAAATCAATATATAAGATTAATGTTCTTGATAGCACAACCTGAATAAGAAATGGTGAGAATTATGTTACCAAGGCATCAGAAAGAATAAAATATTAAGGAACAAATTTAACCACGGAGATAAATAATCTACATGCTTAAAACTACAGGGGTAAGAGAATTAGAGACACAGCTGGAAAGAGCAATAATTCTGCCAAATTGTTCAAACTGCCCAAAGTAAGCCACAGATTGTTATCTACTAAAATTGCAACAATGTATTTTAGCTACAATAGAATTCCTCAGACCGGGATGAAGCCTGAACGACTCAGTCAACTGTAATGTGAGCAGGCAGAACCCTAACTCAAAACAACATTGCAAGGCGGTGGTAATCAAATCCCTTCAAACTGGCAGAAAGCAGTCCCGAGAATCAGCCACAGAACAGAGGGTCCAAAAACAGCCAAGCCTTAAGTACATCCTCAACTAAAACCCTGACTAGGAGGAAAGAAATACACATGGGGAGAGAAACATCTCTTCAATGACTGACACTATGGAAAGATGCAAGAAAAGAGGGAACCTGGATTTGTCTTACACCACATGTGAAAAAATGACTTGATTGACATCACAAACTTAAATAAGAGATCTGACGCCATACAGGTCCTAAAACAAAATGTCTTCAACACTAGCCTTGGCAATGACTTTTTTCTTTTAAGATAGTAGGGTTGTTACTGCATTCTTGAGTCAAGAAAGATTAGAGAGTTAAGCCTCTCAACAGAAGGCAGGTCAGTGAGGAACAGAACAGCAGGCAAACCGTGTACTATGTTACCTGTTACCTGAAAGGAGAAAACTAAGAAACCAATTGTGTGTGGGGGTGTGTGGGGGGGTGGAATCTAGCTAGGACATCTGTCTCTTCATTGATTAACAGGGTTAATCCAGTTGATCTGGCAGGCTAGGTGGGTGTGTAAGAATTTCAGGTCTCAGTTTAAACTTAAAATTGAAAGAATCTCAGGTTTCAGTTTAAACTCAAAAGTTAACTGCACCAGGACACATCCTGGGAGAAGCACATTCCAAAGACTTACACACACATTCCAGGGGAAGGGCCCAAGATAAGAGGTAATCAGGAAGCTGGGCCCTTAACGTCAGTGTTTGTGGTTGCCCTCATGAACTCTGTATAAAAACTGCTCTTGGCTTTGGCTCGGGGTTCCTCTTGCTTGCGTGCAAGGGAACCACAGTGCACTGGTTATCATTAAACCTCTTGTTATTGCATCGAATCTTCTGTCCCTGAGTGTTTCTGCAGGAGCGAGTCCCCCGGTTTTGGATCTTTGGGTCCAACAGGTATCCCCTTCCTCTGTACCGCTCTGTGTCAAAGATCCCAGAATAATGGAGCGCAGGTCAAGAGTATATGAGTAGCTGTGCTCCCCTGCTAGAACCACCAAACATGCTCTCAAGAACCCAATGTTCTTGCACACTCGTAAAACACCTCCAAGAATATATTTTTAAAAGCTGACAATACTGTTGCCTTTGGGGAAAAAATCAGCTGGGTAGTGAGAAAAAACACTAAGTTTACCCTTTTGCGCATCTCAGATTTTGAAATGTCTGAATCCTGCCTTCATAAACAAGTAAAACTTGAATGCAAAAAAAAAATCTATTATTATAATTTCTGGATTGAGAGTTTCATTGGCTATTAATATTGGCTCCCAATATTCTAGTCTCTGGTGCTGGCTATGAGAGGGACCGGATGCAGCATAATGGTTGTGCTCCCTACTTCCCTCTCCACCCCTACGTGACCTATCAAAAGTACTAGGAAAAAGAGTGTGCTATTTGTGAGCTTCTGTGAGGCAGGCTGCACAGCTGCACTTATGAATTTATATAAAACTGAAGCCATCTAGATTTGTCTCCCGGGACTACCAGCACCATGAGAATGAATTCCCAGGAAAATCACATGCACATCAAATGCCCTTGATTTCTGTGTTTAAGATTCTCTTTCTGAAGAGAACCATTCTGGTGAAACAGTGTTTCAACTGAGACATCTCTGAGGAAGGGGAAGCATTGTGATGCTAAGAATTACCGGTCAGCCATGTGAGTCACACAGGATTTCACTTAAACTTCTTGTTATAATTTCTTGTTTCATTATGTCCAAGTGAATCAGGGAAAGGCTCCATTCCATAATTCCATCCCATCCCAAAATACATTTTAAAATACATTTTAAAGAGTACAGCAAAGCAGATGTCAAAACTGTATCTGACGTCCTAACATCCAACCCACATTAATTAAATGCTAGCCACGACAAATCCTGTGCTCTAAGACCCCAAGATGAACGAAGTACACTCACAGGAGTAAAACTTCCAGTTCTGATAAAAATCTCTTCCAGTGCTTCTTAAGCTGCATTTTTTTCTCCTAAATGTCACACAAGAAAGAAAAAGGAAACAATTTAAGAGATGGCTCTCTACTTCTGTGAATCTTTGCCTAGGGACAAGTTTCTTATTTGATGTAAAGTTAAACCCCACCCCCTGTAACTCCATCCCACCCCCCAGGAATCCTTAGCAGTCATCAGATTTTCAAAAATGTTTTAAATTCCCAAACAAGGCTTACAGCCATTACTCTTGAGTTGAATGTTCTTCTGCAATCTGTCACGTTGGGAATGCCATATTCAGACTCACCAGAAATTTCACATTTACAGAAATACAAAAATATTATGCATTCACAGAAAACTCCACAGCGATAGAAACTACTCACTGATCTCACAGGAAAAAAATGTTATGCTACCTATGTTCTTCAAAAACGTCCTCTGTTTTACCATTCATGAATCGGCTCATTTGCATATGTCCATTCAAATTTGTTTTTTGCATTAATTCTGAAAAGATGTGTGCCTACTATGCTAAGGAAGTTGTAACTTCTGACTACAAAGATTCTAATCTAGACAAATGACACAGGACTTTAATCTCACCGTTCTGGAGGTAGGTATATTTTTGAGGCCAGCCTGGGTCTACACAGTAAGACCCTGTCTAAAAATAGTAATAATTAAAAAAATCTAACCAAGATCTAAGCACACAGATATTGAATAAATTAATAACCTCGACAAGGTTGTACTGAGCAGTTCATAGTAGATGGCACATCCTAGGTTCGTTCAATGCTGTATCACTGTATGATCTTGGATCTCAAGTTCCATGTGTCTACCGCTGAACTGTTTAATTAAGACACTATGAGGTCCTAGCTATAAGATCCTCATTTACAACACGTAATGAAATGAAGTGTTTAGAGCTCTATCGTCATCGAAATCCAAGGGGAATTCTGGGCACCGCTGTCCAAGTTAAATTAAAAATAAAAAGCCTAGCTCACTAGTCATTTCCCAGAACTACTTCTTCAGAGTGTACTTAGGTCTTGCAGAGTCTCTCTCCGGGAAGAAGAGGCCCCTCCCTCCCTTGCTCTGGCTGTTTCTAACCCTTTGTCAGTCAGTTTGCCTGGTGTTTTGTTTGAAATCTGGTAAAGAAAGAGATTCCTGTTTGTGTGTCTGCAAACCTTGCTCTTGAATGTGGTTTATGAAGGAAAGACTTCCTCTGTGTTGCGAGCTGCAGAGGAACACCGACCCTCCGGCTGAGCTGCTGTCCAGACCTGCCCAACCCTAATCAGCAGCTGTAAGAAGATGTCCAGGTGAGGGAAGTACAGTGGCGCTCTCCACATCCGGTTCTTTGAGAAATGGGATTAAAGGCATTGTCCCAATGTTTCAAATTGCATTCCTTTAGAGAAGTATCTTCATTAAGGGGTTTTCCTAAATTTGCATGATCTTGAGTTGAGTGGAGGAAAAAGGAAAGAAAAGAAGGGAAGAAAAGGAAAGGGGGAAGATGAGGGGAGAGGAGAGAAGAGGAGAGGCGAGGCGAGGGAAAAGAGGGAAGCAAAGGGGAGAGGAGAGGAGAAAAAAGAAAAGCAAAGAAAGACAAAGACCCTGCATTTCCACCTGACACCTTAAGAGGGCGCTATACTGAAGGATAGTACGAGGTACTCAACACATCCACTCAAAGCATCCCTGTTATAAGTCTCTGGGCTATACTAAGAAATAAAAGCTCGCAAGAGAATGTCAGTTACCCCGCTGAGAAAAGCAGACGAAGAAACCAGCACAATGAAGTAAGACAAAGATGCTGTAGCTAAGTCCGGTCACATCACAGAAGCCAAGCTGGAGGGGAAGGAGAGGAAGAGACCTCGAGGCAAGAGCCTGCCACTCCAAAGTCATCTGTGAAGATTCCCAAAAGCATGCCCAAACGATGGCAGCTGCAGAGAGAAGACTGCAGAGACCCTTGGGAGAGGTGGCTTTACCCTCCAACCATTGAAAGAGTATCCCAATGGGGGCCAGTGACCCATCAACAGTTAAAAAACTAATAAATACATCTTTAAAAAAAAAAAGCCAGTTGGCTTCAACTAGGTCCTAAGGACCAATATTCTAACGTCTTGTTTTACAATGGATAGTTTACAGTTCAATTTTCTTTAATAGATAGTTGATCTCAGGAATCTCAATGTGTCTGTATGAGATTACTGACACAAAAAATCAATTTAAGGACATGAAGGACTCAATAATTACATAAAGGTCTCTGTGACATAACCTACAGAACAGGAATCACTTTAGACTCTGTCCTTTCTGAATCTCCCAATCTCATCCACCAGTAACTAGGTCTGGTCCATCCCATTCTTCTCATATTCCCCAGTGACTTTGCCTCAGCTTAAATAACAGTTCTCAACAACGACTAGCATCCCGTGATAACCCCAAGGGTGTAGTAGTGGCACCCATACCTTGGTGGTAACCAACAACTCTTTAATTGAACAAGTCTTAAGGGAAACTATGGCTGGTACTAGAAACCCAGCCAAGTACTCAGGACTAGTAAAGTCATGGATCTTATAAGAGAACCTACAACCACCACTTTCCCAAACAAGTATAATCTCTGAGTACATTCTAAATATTTGTCCTTATTGCCACAGTTAAGGGTAGTCCTCACCCCTCACTAAGGACACTTCTTTTTCCAACAGATGGTAACCATTGCAGAAGAACACAAGCCGTCAAAATGCAGGGCCCAGTTCCAATAGAAACATCTATAAAATAGTTAATGTTCAGGGAACATGGAGGAAGAGGAGATGAAAATATTGTAGGAGCCGGACATCAAGACATTCGCTGTGAGATTGTGTCTCCTAGAAACGTCAGAAGTTACACGCATAAAGTGTCGCCAACATGACTGACTAAACATGAGCTGAACGAGGAAAAGAACAATTGACACACTTGGAAGGGAGCCCAGAAGGCCTCAGCCTAACAAAGAACCACAGGCAACCAAAGGATGCTGACAGCTGGGAAAACAGTCTTCCCTAGGAAAGAGTGCATGAGTTGATTACCCAATACCAAATGGTCAGCCCTGAAAACATACATACAAGTAACATGACACAGACTAAACTGGTTGTAATTATGAATTTAGGATTTATATATGTTATAATGCATAGTTATATATTATGGACATATATTTTATACATTATATATTCTATAATATATTTATGCATATTATATATGTAATATATACATATTGTGTATGTATACATATATGTGTATATATATATATATATATATATATATATATACACACACACACATATATATGTAACAACAATTGAAGAAAAGGGTCATATATTTGAAAGAGGGGGTACATAGGAAGGTTTGGAGAGGAAAGGGAAGGGGGGAAATGATACATCTATATTATATTCTCAAAAGTTTTTAATATTGATGTCTGCTACCTAAAGATATTTTACAGATACTTCTACCTGGCGCCACACCCACCATCCTGAGTTAACTGGTTGCTATGCTGCCCCCTCCTCTGTGTGAAATGGACCAATAAAGTTTTCAGGGTGCTATCACAAGCATAGTTGGAAGCACCAGCTTAGGTCCGGTTTTCTTGTCTTTCTTGATAGTGTTCACACCAGAGACAAACCTCTGTCTAGGCTTTCTTCTTCCAGTCTTTTGCCAAGCCTCCTGCTAACCTCTAGTCCTCCGTCTATGCTCTAGCCAAAGCTGTGTTTTAAACACAGATCCAAACCTTTCACTCCCCTGCTTCATCAGGCATCGGCTCGTCTTTCCTGTATCATTGTCTGTGTTTCCTTCCCACCCGCCATATGCCACCAAATGAATTGCTACCCACAAGTCTAGTCCTGCCTCTGTTTCCCCAGCAGGTGGACTTCCGATCCTTCACTGTTTGCCAAAATCCTACTCACTGTCTCAATCCAGAGGAAAGGTCAGCTATTTCTCCTACCAATACTGGTTTTAAAAAGTGATGCCTTTGAATATGAAATGGTAATAAACCAGAGGAATGGGTGTTCGTGATAGTGATTCTTTTCATACCTGTTTAAATAATTTAACAGCATATGTTTGGTTTTGACTGTCCACTCTGTATACTTCAAATATCTCTCCTTCTCCAATTAGGAAGTCTTTATGGAAATGCTTGGTTCCTTCTAAGATACTTTGGAAGCTGATGGGAGTTTTATGCAGTATTCCTTGGGAGGGAAAAAAAAAAAAAGACCATGAGCCATCTTGTTTCTTTTAAGAGTCAACGTCACTGTTACAAGAGGGGCGTGGTGTACTGAAAGTGCGTTAGAGTAGAAAGCCTGAGAATGAGTCCCAGGAGCCCAAGGGGAGGCGCACCAGGTGTCCTCTGTGTTTTTCCGTGGCTTTGGCCCTCATCCTTCAATACGACATGAGGCTTTTTAGATACTTTTTAGATACTTTTTAGATATGGCATGATTTGTATCTCCAATGAGGTTAGCCAAATAAGCTTAGCTGAGGCCATCATTCTAGGACCCTGTTGGTCCTTAGGCCAAGCAATGCCTTATTTTGGACCAACTGGAACTCTTGGGGTCGTTAAACAGTGCCTCCCTCGCATTGCTGATGGTGAAGCTTTTGAGGAGGCAAAGCCTCTGACCACCTAGTTGATTTCCTCAGAGTAAATTAAGACACTCCATCTTTGAACAGATCACCCGAACTGCAGGCTGGGTGAAGATGTTAAAGATAACCAGATGCAGATTTGAGAAGATGGGGGGTGGGCTAGAGCCAGGACTAGGCTGCAGAGAGCTGGCTGAGCACCCCAAAAGTTCTACCCCCAGAACTACAAAGGATAGAAATAAAAGATAAAAACCACAGGTAAAGCAGAGCTTAATTTTAGCTAAGTCTCTACAAACATCCTAGAAAGTATCCTAGAAAGACATTTACAATTTCATTTAGAGATCAGGGCTAAAGACTGGAAACTTCGCCTGATGTCTTAACTCTCTTGTCACCAGAGAATCTGCAGGCTTGGGCCAAACGATCATCAACTGGCCTTAAGTAATTTTTCAATTTTATCAGAACGACTCCCAGGTGGAACCAAATGATTTTCCCTATTAATAAAGTACAGGCACTAATCTAAAATACAAATGGATTTTCACAGTGGCCTTCAGCACTGCCTTATAATCATCTCAAAAGGTCTGTGCGTCTGTGAAAATTTCTGAGGCTATGTAAAACTCAATACATGTTTTTCAGTGTTTTCTTATGGCACACAAAAGCTGTAAAGTTTCTAACAAAGTCCCTGTGTGTGAAGTTCCTCCATGGTATTCATTAGTGCCAGTGGATGATGATGATGGTGGTGGCGGTGATGATATGTTCTCCTCCTCCTCTCCCATCCATCTTCCTCCTCTTCCTCTGCCTTTCCCTTCTTCCTCCTCTCTTCTTCCTCCTTCTCTTCTTCCTTTTCCTCTTCCTCTTCTTCCTCTTCCTCCTTCTCATCTTCTTCCTCCTCTTCTGTCTCTTCTTCTTCCTCTTCCTTCTCCTCTTCCTCTTCCTCCTCTTCTTCTTCTCCTTCTTCTTCTGTTTCAGAGGTTCCCTGAGGCAAACTCATTTCTTATTTTCCTGTAATTAATGCACTAGGGTTGTGTTTTATAAAGACCATTTCAGCCAATGGATCCTTATATTATAATATCTCATCTACCACGACTATAAGTGTCCATCAAATTTTAAAATATTGTTTCCTACCTATGAAAATCTTATATTAAATTGGAATAGAAACAGTTTAGTTGTTCATTACCTCCCCCTGCAAACTCACATATATGAAAGTGTAATTTAATTAATTGTGATGTAATTTTTTTCTTACCTTTTTCATTCTGTTCAGGAACAAGAACATTATCCACGGTGACATTGGTTGGTTCCTGATGGAAGAAATATATGTTAAGTAATTCCATTTTATAAGCCTAGAAAGAGTAGAGCCTCAACAGAAATTGATAGCTCCCCATGAGACTCTACAGTGAAACAAAACAGAATGGAGTTTAGATAAAAGCTGGAGGAAAACTAAGTTATCTCACTTTGTTCAATAGTATTCATTTCCTTACAGACATGGCATCCATGCCCACTGAGAACAGCAAAATACCAACGCTATCATTGCCAGTTTTAAGTGGATCGTAACACTTTCTCAACAGTGGTCACTGGTGATCTGTTCTGATAAAAGCTAGCAATTCCATAAAAACATCAGCTGGAAAAAGGGAAATGCTAAGCTGAGTTGAGATGAGTGTGTAACCCCCAGCATCTTAGGAGTTGTACATCTCAGCTCTGGTGGATCCTGGAAGCAGAAAACCTCTACCCCTCGTGTATTTACAGACTACAACTAAATCAGACAAAGGGAGAGGCATCTCTAGTTTTCAGACACTGCCTGTATGTCCAGCACTTTCCCGCCAGAGAGTTTCAATCTTTATGCAAGTATGTGCACCAGAGGTCCAGGGTCATTTTCTCTGCACACGTGCTTCATGTCAGGTGGCAAGTTGGGAAATGGAAGCTCGTGATGAGTCTGCGCTGAAGGAGTCCAGTTTACTCCTGAAAGAGAAGCAAAGGGAGCTCGGTAGAGAAGTGTTTATGTTCCAAAGGTTCATTTGCCTTGAGGTCATGAAAATAAACAATTTCACTCGTAACGCTAATGTTTAAAGTTGATACTTCATTCAATCAGAATAAATTCATTCAACTGGAATAGATAAATCCACACCTGTGAAATGTTGTCAAATGGTGAAGTATCCAGTGGCACCTGTATTCACTTAATAACACAACTAGCTACTTTCAAGCGTTCTTAGTTATCATGAAGAATAGTGAAGCATGAAACACAAAGCAGAAATCAAAACATAATCCTTTCACTAGGTTCTACAGACATTTAAATGTTGAGGTTGCGAGATTACACTCCCTGGGTTGGTTTATTATGATGTTCTTGGCTTTTTGTATTTTTTGCTCTTTTTACAATAAAGTATCAGAGATTATTATGTGTGTGCAAACACACACACACACACACACACTATCAATCACCAATACTCACACCCTTCCCAAATATAAGCTATACTTATACTTTGTAGAATTCTGTTAGAACTGAGATGTTCTGTGTAGCATCTCACAAAAGATTAAAATGCTTTTGTTTTTGCTGTTCTGGCTAACATTTTGATTCAACCTTAAGAATGTTTTTGTTTTAATGGTGATAATAATAGTTACTCTTATTTTCTAGCGTTTATCAAATTTTTTTTGTTTTCAAAACTAGCAACAAAGCACCATCAATTAATTTTTCAAAATCCTCAAATACTGTTCATATCTCATTGGCCAACCGAACCTTTTTGATATCTACAGAACTTCCTTTCCAAACACAGAACTCACACGGCCTCCTCCAGAGGACACCAGACATTCTCCAGAACAGACCACATGTTGGATGATAACACGAGCCTTGGATGATACTTAGGAGGCTTAGATGATACAAAGTACATTTTCTGACCCCTGGGAAATTAAAGTAGAAACCAACTGTGAAGAGAAACTTGGAAAAACTCACAGAAACGGGAACATTAAAAATCATGATTAATGAGTCTAAAAATCATAACTGATGAGGTAAAGACAATGGCAGAGAGTAAATTAGGAAATACTCCGTGATGAATCAGTAATTTAAAGAATACCCAAAACTTAAGGCAGGGAGCTCAGAGCAGGGTTGAGAGGGGACACTGTAACTGTGGAGTTCCACCTTAAGACAGAAGAAATTTCTCAAACCAGTGACATGTTTTTAAACTATTTTTAAAAAAACAACAAAGTAAACAAACACAAATAGAAGGAATTCATGTCAGAGTGGAAAAAGGGAATTTTCAGCAAGGGAGATTCATAGGAAAGCAAGCAGGGCCCTTTGAAAAGATCATCAAAACTGGCAATAGTTTGGACAGGATGAAAATAGAAGGGAAGAAAGAAGGAAGGACAGAGAAAGGAAGGTAGGAAGGAAGGAGGGAGGGAGAAAGGAAGAAAAAGAAGAGAGACTCACATTGTTAAAATTAAGACCAGAAGAAGAACAATCACTACAGATTTCATGGCTTTACCGAATCATTAGTATTATAAAAGAATATTATTACATCAAGAAAACATAATACACTTGAAATTAGAAAACTCAGATGATAAGAACAGATTCCTAACGTTCTATCTACCAAAATTAATTCAAAGGATAATCTGAATGGACATGTAATAAGTTAAAAAGTGATTAGTGCTTTTTTTTTTAACATCCCACAGAGAAAAGATTTGGCCCAAATGACTGCACTGTTTAATTCTACCAGCAACACATGGACAGTTTAGCACAAACCCTGTATAGACTCTTCAAATGCAGAAGAGGACAGAACAAATCCTGGATCACTCATGGGGCCAGTATTATTTTGATACCAGGGCCAAACACAGGAAGGAGCAGATATTAACCCGTACAAATTTAGGTGGAAAAATCCTCCACCAAACACCAACAAACCAAAAATAAGTGAAGGATCACATGTCACAACTGAGTGGGATCTATCCTAGAAACCCATGATTTGCTTAAAACTGAAAGTCAAGTTATGCAACAACTCACACCAATAGAATCAAGGATACAAAAACACAGGTTTAGCTCAAGAGTTTGAAAAATAAATCAAAATCCAGTACCCAGTATTTTAGAAACAGAAGGAGTTTCTTCAATCTGATATAAGGTATTTATGAAAAAAAATGATAGTCAAGGTCATATTTAATGGTATAAGACAGAATGTTTTCCCCTTAAGTTCAAGAACAGGGCAGGGCTGCTTGGTCTAGCCACGTCCTGCTCATTATGACATTCAAAGTTCTAGCCAGCAGAGCCAGACTAGATAAAGAGCTAACACACATCCTGAATCAGGTATTGCCACATGCAACATTTCAAGTCTGGGAGCTATAAAAGCACTAAATCTCACTACTCTTTTGTTACAAAAAAAAAGAAGAAGAAGAAAGAAAGAAAGAATGAAAGAAAGATAATATTTTATTATCAGAAAATGATAGTTTTAAAATGGTTCCTTTGAGGAGCCCATAGAAAGCTGTATATTGTGTTAATTATCGAAGATGTTTAAAAACTTAAACAAGAAAACACTGATTTGGGAGATCACACAGCTGGTGAGGTGCTTTCTATACAAGTGTGAGGACCTAAATTCAATCTCCAGAACCCACATGACGAAAATAAAACCAAAGCAAGCAAGAAAATGAAACAGCCAAACAATGTAGACATTGATAAAGCCCAACATGGAAGAGGTAGACAGACAGATCCTGGAGCTCCAGACCAGTGAGAGAGTCTGTGTCTTGAAAAACAAAGTGTATGTCTTGAAAGAACAAAGCAACAGCACAAAGATGCAGGAAGTAAACAACTCAGATGGATTAGGAAATCCCTGAAACTGAGCATATGCACAACCCCTCCCCCCCCCATTATATGAAGGTAGAAGCGAATCATCCTCCTATTGGCTCACACACAGACTAGCTATCCTGAAATATGGAGTGCAGCAGAAACAAAAGAACTAACTCCTAGAAACTATCCTCTGACTGGCACACTTGCGTTGCAGCACGAATGCAACATGGTTGAATAGAAACAGACAGGACAAACTTGAGTGAATGGCAGATAAGTAAGGCATAATTAAAGGACATTGCCTAAAAAGGAGAATCACAACTTAATTTTGGAGGCATCATTTACATTCAGAGGAGACCAAATAATTTTATTGTCTATAACTGGGAGATCCAATGTCGCTGCTAGCTTTTAATATTATAAACAAATTTAAAAAATAATATTATATGTATTTTATTTAAATATTTTGGTTCTTATTCTGAGCTTTAGACAAAAAGCTGATACTTTTAGTTGCTGAATGAAATGTTAGAGTCCTATAGCTGTCAGGGGAGTTAGATATGTCTTTAATTCTATCACTGAGGAGGGGGAAGCAGGCAGATAACTGTGAGTTCAAGGCCAGCAGAGTCAACATGGCAAGTTCCAGGTCAGTCTCAAAAACAAAACCATAAAAATTAGAAAGGAATGTATCATATTGTTAAGGAATGAAAAAAGAAAATGTCACACTCACAAGCAACAGGTCACTGACAGCCATCAAAGCAGGCCAGTGTCTGTGGGAAGTGCACTCTTTCTATTTAGAGATGATAAGTCCCCACAGGATGGATGGATAGAGAGCCAGGTTTCAGAACATGCTTACCATAGTTCACAATTAAATGGATAGCACGTTGATGCCCCATCTCTTGGAGAACCTGTAAAAGGTCGCCAATGGTCTTGTTTTTCTGCGCCCAGGACCACAGCAATTCTCTTGTTCCACTTTTACCTCGGTCTGCGTATTTTTCAATGTGCCGAACATCCAGCCAGGTGTTTGAAAGTCGCTCCGCTGTGGAAATTGCAACAGAAAGAAGACAAGAATAGACTACCTTTATTCATATACTTAGGATTTGTCTTGTCACCTTGTATATTTTATGTCATTTGGATTGTAACCTTTTATTTGGAACTAATGTATTATATACTCCTTCCCAGACACCCGAATCCACAGGGCTAATCAGGACAAACTTGTGAGAGTTAGTAACAACCGAACTTAGTCTCCCTCTAGTCCCTGCCTGCTGTCTCATTAGTGGAGCTATCTCCTCTCCTGTTCTAGCATTTCTGCATTGCATTTCTTCACCTCTGAGTTTGCTTTGCTCTCCAGCTCCTTGTCCTTCAGGCCAGTGGATGATGTGTATCTTCAGTGGACAAGGTCTAGGGCTGTGGTAAGAATGGCATGCTTACTGCAGTATTTTGTTACAGTGTTGCCTGCAAAGTCTCTCCGTTATAAGTTATCCTTTTAACTATGATGCAGAAGACACTGCTCAGATTGTTTTTTCTGCCCTGCTCAATGTATCTTGTTAATGACAATGACTACTATGACATATTTGCTTAATGATGGTCTTTTCCTTCTGTATTCATTAACAATACTTTTTGTAACAAAATGTGCAGTCTTATTCACTCAACTTTTCATTTATATCAGGATGGACTCATGGACATTGTATTCTAAAGGGTAACATCTAATAATATTATTATGTTGTTGCTACAGCTGTTTTGCTGTGTCCATCTGGGGGGGGTGCTCCTATCTTCTGGCAAGGTCTATAGCACGTCCTCATTGGCTGGCTCTACATAATGTTCTCAGCTCATTTGTTTGTCTTCCCCTTCTGCCAGGCTGCGGTTAAGCACTTGCTCCAAGAACTGTACTTTCTCTACCAGAAATGGTGTTCCAAAGCTAAGGTCTAGTTGCTAGATAGGACTCAAGCTTTGGTGCCGACAGACTCCAGAAGCAAATATAGCTAGCAAATGCTTTCATGTGCACTGATCCAATGTCTGTATTCTCAGCCCGTGTGCAGGCACATTACAAATAAGTGTCTATTCTGGTATCCCTGGTTTGAATATAAACCAGGTTTTGTGTTGTTCCTTATTTGTCACTTTATTTTTGAACAGCAAGAAACTTTGCTCCTGTTACTGACGATATTTCTATTATTTGGCCTTACTGTAACCACCATGTACTTTCCAAGTTGCCGAGACACCCTTGTGAGAAATACAGGCACTAAACTGAAGTACAATTGATCTTGCTGCCCTGGGCTGAAAAGCATCCAGCTAAGGTGTTGCTTCCCAGCCAGTCACTTAGGTTAATTTTCTTCCTCACCGCTCCTTTGCTATTATTACTCATTTATAATACATTAAATTTATACTTATGCAATGGCTGTTTAAATATTTGTTCTATATTGTCTTAGTGTTGAACACTTGGGTAACTGAAAACTAAGATCTGGGTAGGACCAGAGCAATGTGTCGGTAGGAATCTAGGTATTTCACTGCACTAAATGGTACACATAACTCATAGAGGGTCTTGTATAGATTCTCTAAAAGCAGTACCAAATTTCCGTAAGAGTTTATGGTGCCCGAGTTAACAGGATTTACCGAATGAAAATTTGTGCCGCCTCACTGCACAACTGCACAATGTTAAGTGCACTGCAGAGCGAAAAGAAAGAAGAGAGAAGGCAACTGACAGAAGGGAAAACTTACTTGTTCTTGTGGTTAATAGCCCAGGTTATCTCGGTCCTGCTGAGTTCTAACATAAGTGGTGTGTTTGGAGATGGCAGATGAGCATGGTACCACCCCACCCTGCCTTTTCCTCCAAGAAAGACTATAAAAGTTAGGGTCTTATACATAGGTCTGTGGATGAAAGTCAGTTACCACGGGAGAATAACCGTGGGCATCTTGATACACTACTATGACAGGTTATTGGAACTCAGCACATTTTCCTTCTGCCACACTCAAATATGGAATAAACCCTCCAGCACTAATGGCACTGACAGATGATACTCTTTACCAGGATAACAGATACTCCGATCTGATAACAACAGTAAACCTTATGAAGCCTTCTTGTGTTTAAAACCAGTTTCGGGGCTGCTAAATTTTTACGAGGTTGCTTTTTTTTTTTCATGAATAGTGTTGGAAATCTATCAAAAACTCAGGTGTTTCTGATTTAATATGGTATCCTCTGCCCCCACATTTCCACTTCAATGAGTGAGACTTTGCCAGCATACACAGTTTACTGGGACTTTATAGCCCTGTTAATATTCTCAGTAAAACCATAAAGTTGAGAGAGAGAGAGAGAGAGAGAGAGAGAGAGAGAGAGAGAGAGAGAGAGAATACAAAACCACAACTTCTCCCTGTTCTTTGAGCCCAAAATGACTTAGCAGACACCATCAGTACTCACGAATACGCTCCCAATTCTCTACTCCATTGCTGAAGACGGAATGTCACTGCCTAGTGTGGTTATGAATGCCCAAATGTCATTTCTACCAGTGCCAAAGATTCAGAGTCAGTTGGCCAGGATTATATTCCAGTTACAGCACAGTACAAGCACATGACAGCCTGGGGTGACTCAGGATTAACACAACTTAGCATGCTGGGTCAGCACATGGAGTACAGATTGCTGGACCTTTAGGGCTCCTCTCGGTATCTGATAAAGCACAGACAAAGCTGTGTAAGCCTCTGAGGTTTCAGTGGTGCTTGTTACAGCAGTGCAGCATAGTCCATCCTGACTAATACACACAAAGGTGCACCCTGAATCTTCTTGTCATTTAAGTGATGTCTTGTTTCGAAATAGAGTGAACGATAGTGTCAGCTTTTGTGATTACATATTAAGTGGGAGGTAAGTGAGACATTCAACTTGGAGACATCAGTAGTCCGTAAGGAAATATATATATACACCCCAATAGCTGATGTCACTGAGTTGAAATGTCTTCATCTTTCTTCTTTCAGGTCTCGAAAATGTTTGCATTCCTCATGAATTTTAAGGGTTGGTGTCTTACAAAGAGGCCAGAACTACAGATATCAAATATATGTTTTAGATGTATGACTATTACAGGAAAAAAAAAGAGGAGGAAAGATCTTTAAGGCAAAACTTTGGCCAGAGGCAGTAATACTATTTTAATATACAGTTGGCTCTCCTTATCTGTGAACTCTGTACCCAGGAATTCAACAAGGTAAATATAAAAAAACTTTTAAAAACTATGTCAAAAAGTTCATAGCAAGACTCTCTATTGCTGTTACATCACATACTTGGGTCATAAAACATGAAAAGTCATTATCTGGTGATTATCTGGAGCTTTCATTCCTACTGGCTAGCTTTCATAGTGCTGGAAGATGCTGTGCTGCTCCCAGACTAGCAATAACAGGCTTACCCATCCGGAACCGTGTGACCTACAGTAGCAAGTGTGGGCTGACAATATACACCCACTAGTTCAAGAGTAATGAGAATGTTAGAGGAATAAATAACCACCTTCTGATTGGATTAATATCCACTCCACAAGACAGAATTCGTGCCTGGTACCATTCAGAACCAAGAACCCTACAGCTGGGCAAGCTACAGACCCCAGGAAAGAACCTAATGCTATTATTCTATTCAATAAATATTATCATAAATTTTCTTATAAGATCTTATTTTTTATACCCATAGATTAGTGCATCTCTCAGCCCTTATCAGAGAAGCCTACTTCTCCAGTAGATGCTGAGTAACAGCACAGAGACACTCAATTGGTCAACACGCAGAGAATAGAGGCTATGAACTTGATTGGCCCTAAATTTGACATTTATATCACATCCCTTCCTCCCAGGGCTCAGAGATCTTCACAGAAGAAGGGAAAAATAGTAAGAGCCAGACTTAGTCCATAACTATAGTGAAACACTATTTTCTAAACACAACAAGGTAGTTGAATATAAGACTACAGAGTGTCTGTAACTGCATACACAAGTGTTGTACAAGATCAAACCAGACCAAATCCCAACAGGGATAGGGGAAGAGCTTGCAAAGTTCCACATCTAGCTAAGGAGGTATGGAAGACTGATGGATGCTGGGAAACATGCACATGCCTTCTCTACCCTCCCACCCAAGCCACCAGTAGATGGCCCTTCATCCAACTACATACTGGCCTCAATGAGGTCATCCATCAAGTTTTGAAATAAGATCACACAAAGTTTGGAGGGGATTGAGATGGGAAGGGTAGGGGGAAATTGGAAGGGAGGAAATTAGGAATGATTTTATAAGAAGAAGACACATCATATGCATTATGAAATTCTCATATAAAAAATTAATTATACCAGGAGCTGGGGAGATAAGCCAGTGGTGGTGTTTGCCTGCCTTGCAAAAGCCCTGGATTTGATCCCTAATTCTGCAACAAAAGTCAGCATTACACATGCTCAGCTGTGTTCTTACTACTTTCCCTAAATAATACAATGCAACTATTTACTTATTTATCTTAACGTACATATTATTAATAATCTAAAAACGAGTGTAAAGCACATGAGAAGACTGTGTGTTTTATAGACAAATACAATACTATCTTACATAAAGAAACTGACGGGTGAACTGTCTCTTTCTCAAACTGTTGCCTGTGGCCTGGACTACTTGCTGCCTGACCCTACCTGACCTTGGGGGATGGAGGTGAGGTGGCTCAGGGTCAATGACACAGACTCCAGAAGCAGGTGAGAAATGCCCCTGCGAGTTCATCTGAACGCTGCTGCAAGCTCCTTTAATACTGTCCACCTGTGCTCCCATTGGTCCCAAGAAAACATCTCTTGTAAACGGCAGTTTCCCATTGGCTGGCATTGTCTGTCTTGGTCTCTCAGGCAGTCCTCAATTAGGTCCTCCTGCAGGAGATGCGATGCTTACATAGAGGTGGCTGCTGGCATTCCTCCTACATCAAACTTATCTGTCTTTTTGGCTACTCGTATTTTTCCTCAGTAGTTTATTTAGCTATCTTGACAAGCTCTTAAGAGCAAATTACTGTCATTTGAATACTTGTTCATGTCTTCATTGTACAATTTATTAGAATAACTGTG